CCGAAAGACGCTATCTCTGAGATACGCCCTTTTAGTTCTTTTTTATCATTCAATAGCTATAGTAATTTTGCATCTAATCATTGACTTACATATAAATAGACGACGGGTTTAATACAAAAACCACGAAAAAAATGTCCCAAGTCAACCTATTTAAACGTAGTGACATGTAAAGGAATATAAAAAAGCTAAAACGTTGAATTTAAATTGTAATGTCATCGCAGTACTGTCTAATTTTGCTTGCTTCGCTGTCAGTCGAACAAACGAAGACTAAAGCGTGAATGACGCTCTGTATACGATTTTAACGCCCTATAAGTTCGGACACTTTTTAGCGCGGACCCGACGTCCATATAATTGTAAGTCAATGCATCTAATGGTATTATAGAAATGACGCTATCTAACTTAAAACATTTCAGAAAACCACTAAGAAGTTTTGAAACATTTCTTTATAATCAAAATAGCGGTAATGAATCTATTAGTGAAAAAAACGTATAAATTTTAACGTCTTCAAAAGATTTATTTTTGAAGGTGCGAAATTACAATTGACAAAAAGTCGATTTTCTCAAAACTTACTCCGACTGAGATAGCGCTTTTCGGCTCATCAGGGCAGAATTGTTTATTAAAATTTGAGCACATTGGTGGCAAATTATAATTATTATTGATTAAGTATTTGATACAAATTATTGTATCGAGTTCTTTGGTTTTCGCGATAGTTACACGTAGGAAATGAAACTATTTTTCCGGATTTAAATCGCGTGTATATGTTTTTTCAAACAAACCGACGTTTCGGGTCACGGTTGACAGTATTTTGAAAAAACAAATACACGCGATTTAAATCCGGAAAAAATCATTTCCTACAAATTATTGTCTTAAAAATAATATTTGTAGCGAATCGCAGCGGTAGCGGTTTTGTTAATATTTTATAGTCTCTTTAAGTTTTAGTTTTATATTTAAATTCTAAATTTAAACGTAATTGTTTTTGGCGCCTTTTCTTGACTTTGTGTTGCTGTTTTACTTTGATAGCTACGTGGTGTTTTGTAATAAAAATTAATTAACTTTAAGTACATTTGCTTGACCCTGCTCACTCGTTGTTAGCACCCACCCTTTAACCCATTGATATAGTCCGCTACAATATTGTTACAACGTGACAAAATAAGGGCCATATATTCCTGGTAACACATTAGCGATACAGCTCCTTTAGATATCAACTCCCGTTTCCACTGAAATATAGACAGGCCAACTATTGACCTGTGTGTACGTCTCCGTATATTCCAAAAAATATTCTGTATTTATTATAATAAAGATAATTTCTCTAACAATGCCGTGCTGTTCTATTCGGTGGTGTGGGAAAAAGAGCAAAACATCTAATTACAAAACACACGGAATCACATTTCATCGGTAATTAAATATTAAATATGTAATTTGGCAATTTTCGTCAATTATATCAAAGCTCCAGTTAACTGGTCGATTTGTAGTAAAACAATTGACGACACCCTTCAATTGTTTCGAACTCGGGCTAGCCAATCGGAGCGCAGTTGTCACAGTAGTGACATGGCAGAATGGTTTTCAAACAAATTAAATGACATTTCGTCTCTATTTCTGGTTATATAAGTACTCGATGTTGCGTTTATAGGAATACAACTACATTATTATTTTTAAATTATTGAAATACTTTAGCCGTTTAAAACATGAACATGAAATAACATATATTTAGGAATGTTTAGAAAATAAACAGTGAAAAAAAAAATTAGAAGCATGGGTATGTCCATATTAAGAAAACTTTCATACTTTAGGTAGATCAACCCTCCCTCCCTCAATTCCGATCACTGGTGATGACTGATGACCATCTCAGTCAGCCGTTGACATGGGACCTGTAAAGGACCCGAAACGTTAGTAGCAGTAGAGCTGCTTGTGAAAAACTTCATCCAGGGAAGTACTGTCACCTTACCTATTTCTGCCGCCAAGCAGTAATGTGACCAATTGCTGTGTTTCAGATTTGAACTACATTCGATTCATATCAGTTTTGAATCCAAAAAGTGATGGTCCGAAATGTCACAGGGATCATTTTATCTCTAGGTGTAGTAGCGACATTCGAAGTGGAACCGAGTTTTCTTGATTTGTATAGTCTCGGATTCGAATTGGATGCGGTGTGCAAGTGTGTTGGTGAAACTACAGGCACATGGGACTTTTCAGCTGTCGGTGACGGCCGCAGTGGCAGTGCCACTCAGATATTTGTGATTTAAAGCACAACTGTTACGAACAGGCGCGTCGCTTACTTACAGTATAGTATAAGGTTTTTCTCAGACCTTAGTGCTTCCGGTAAATTGTTATAAATTTTTGGCGCCATTACAAAAATACTTTTCTGCATGAAGGTAGTTTACAGGCTTTCAAACGAAATTGGTCATATCGTCTTCGCTTCAGAGTTCGTGTGAACAAGTGTGAGTGCATTCGGACGTACACGGCAGTTTCGTAGATATAAAATGAAGGAACACTCAGTAGTCGAAGATCTTTAAAATATGGATAAAATTTAAAGATCTTCGACTACTGACTCTTCCTTTACTTTATATCGACGAAACTGCCGTGTATGAATGTACATAAACTGAAGCACCTTCTTCTTCTTTCCAACAAAAAATAATGACCGAAATGGGTTTACAAATCGGAGTTATCGCGTAACATACATACAAAAAATCTCCATATTGAACTCCTTTTTTGAAGTCGGTTAAAAAACAAATATACACGATTCAGATCTTAGAAAAAAGTTCCATTTCATATGCGTAACAATTTCAAAAACTGTTAATTCGTTTGAGATTACTAACCAGTGATATTGACAAATACAATAGTATAGGTACTTGGTAAAAACATGGTGTAATAATAATACAACATTAAGTAAGAAGTAACGATGGCCAACCGGACGGGCTAGTTAATCGGAATTGTTCTGCCGATCGCCTGCAGGCAGGCTTAAACGACTGACCTACATCTCCTGTAGAATGCACACACCACACAAACGCTTTGGAGAAAAATATACACAACGCCAAACGCCCATCGCTGAGAAAACGCTGGTGCATTTATATACTCCAAAACTGAACTTCGACACGCTGCTCCGACTACATCGACATTACTTTACTCAGATACTACGCTACTTCGACAACCCAGACGAGATTCTTAAAAAAAATCTTTATACTCATCGAAGAATGATCATCATTACAAGCAAAATCATGATGTAGGAAAAGGTGTCTATATCGATAAATATAATAAAAAAAACGAACAAAATGAAACACTTAATCGAAAAATTATTTAAAATAAAACTATTAACTTACATACATTAAATAGTATATTTTTTATCGAGGGACTAATGGCGTGTTTCCACCGGCGAGGCGAGACGAAACGAGGCGAGACAATTTTTAAAACTTGTTTGGCAAAATATCGATTCTCTCCTAGCGCATCTTCGGTGGAAATGGTCGGAATTGACGAGGATGGACGAGACGAGATTTGAAATATTTGTTGTTGTAACCATGAACCGTATTATTGCCTACATAGACTCTTTATTAACTCTGCAACGGAAACACGATTCACGATTACTCGTACGATATCGCGCAAATTCTTATTATTAACATATTTAATAATAAGAATTTGCGGGACATAATACTTAGGAAGCCGCGTATTTATCGCTAGACGAATTGAACAGCACTGTGTGTTCATTATTCAATTCTCGACTCGCCTCGTCTCGGCTCTCCTCGCCGGTGGAAAAGCACTTTAAGAGCATACACGGCGTCTTCGTAAGTTATTTTATAAAACTACCGTTCTTTTTTTAGTTTTCATTTCTGTTTAAATTTTAATGATTATGCAAATATTATATTATATAGTTATTTATATTAATTTATTAAGATTGTTAAATGTCACGATATTGTTTTTCTTTCGTTATTATTTGTGACGCGCTTTGTCTATGCGTACGTTTATTTGTATTGTATAAATAAAATTTTATCTATATTTTTAAGATTATGTTTGTATAAATACTATGAATAGAGCAACACTCAAACAAACCCTTTAGGTTTAAGAGTGCCAAGTACCTAGATAATAAATTAATAATAATAATAAACACGCACAGACAAAGCGCGTCACAAATAATAACGAAAGAAAAACAATATCGTGATATTTAACAATCTTAATAAATTAATATATGTCTAACACGTTAACTAATTTTAACTGTGTTCAAAGAGAATTTTGTGCTCTATTTTTTGCTGTTTAAAACGGTAATTCGACCATTTGTCACTTACCCGCGATTTCGTTAGTGGACGGCAACGTTGCTTAAAATCGCTTGTAAGGTAAATGTAACCGCTTTGATACGAACCCATGTATACCCGAGGTTTAAAGAGTGTCTATATTTTCCGAGGGCTTACATTGGGCTTTTAGTCTTGAGGTGAAAACTTAATTTTTGACTTTGATCGCGAGAAAAGAATGGCCTTGTCTTGTTGGATCTTTAAGATACTATACCCTAAAATGGACTGTCACATTAAATTGTTCTAATGCGTGCTGTTAAGCTCAAGCAAGTGTGATTTCACCCTGCATTTGGCTCGTATTATCAAGACGGATGACATGGGTCATGAAGCTATTAATGTTTTTTTAAACCGTACCACGCTAATCTATTACTGCTCATACAACATTACCTGTATACTGTGTACGAGCCCTGCACGCCACCTTACGGTAGGATCGGACAAGGCCGGGCTTAGATTACGGGATGTGCTTATGCTCTTCGGTGGCACAGCGATTAGTGCTATGGGCGCTTGGTGACTAGGTTCTGGGTTCGACTCCGGATTTGGGCCAATTTAGGAAACGAACATTTCGAAGTTGGTTCTAGTCTGGGTATGCTGGATATTGCCCTCAGAGATTGAGTCGGAAAGAGTAACTTTATATATATAATAAATAAATAATAAGAAATATTTCTGCAAAGTTTTCTCAGGTTATTTGGAACTTGTTTGTTTCTAAATGTTTTTTTCTGTCCCCAGGTTACCTAGGTGATGACCTGGCAGAGACGAGCCAGCTTTGCTGCAACCAGGGCACTAGTTACGCTCGCAACCACTCATCTGAAGACTGCTCGTCTTCCATCCCTCCTGATGTGCCGAAGCAGTTTGCTGCGTTGTGCATTTTTGCCATGGACCAGTGTTGCAAGGAGTACTTCCAGTAAGTATTAAACTATTGTATTTACTAGATCTTTGGACCATGCTGATGCTGTGCGAGTTGAGGCTATGAAACTTTCAGACATCGAAACCGCTGGATTAGTTTACTACAGCTACTATCACAGTTTGATGACTGGCATTTTCCTTTGAGGTAATATCGCCGAAAATAATAAAATCTTTGGCCTGCAGAAACGTGCAGTTAGAACAAACATAGCGTCAAAGTACATTTATGAAAATGTAGTTTAAATTAAGAAGAATAGTACTATTTTTATGAAAAATAGTGAAGGACATAACATTAATACGAGGAATAAAAATATATAATACAACTTTTGCGTAGGTATTTGGATGACAAAAATTCATGATAATGACCGGTTTAGCTCTTGTAGGTAATCACAGTCATCATCTTATGTTTTTTTTTACTTTCAGAAAGAAACGAGATTGTGACAACGGGGTCGAGATAGCAACTTCAAGGAAAAGCTGCGATTCCACACGTGATTCCGTCAAGGTAAGAGTACAGTCACTAGCACAGAACAAATAATAGGATATAGAAGTTACTCTAGACCTTGAAGACATCTGATCATCTCATAGTTTGCAAAATTACTTAGATAAACCAACGGTCACGCCGACTAGTGACCGAATTGTTGGTCACTTTAGATACGAATATAAGTACCTACACGATTTAGATCTGAATAATTGTAACCTTTTTATAAAAAACCTCAAAAGTTCGTGAAATTACGTCTATTTGCCAAATTTTATTGTAACTGGAAAGTGCGCGAAACCAGGTTCACCATTTGCCGCCTTGAGAGGTGGAATATTTCCTTCAAATTTAAATGAGATGAATACTGAGGTATCCTTTCTTTCCAACAATAAAAGAATCATCAAAATCGGTTCACAATTGTAAGGTAATCTATCACAAACTCAAATTTCTTTTTTCCGAAATAACGTTTGTTCGAATTTTCATTTAGAAAACCGAATTATAACGAAACCGTTGTTCTTTCAGGATATGTTGGATGTTTATCGCAAAGACACGATTGGGTTCGGTTAGGTTAGGTTAAGGGTGACAGCTGCCTCGAAGAGACGGCCCAGCACACGCTGGAGGAGTGTCCTGCATGGGTTAAGCAGCGCGGTGAACTTGTCGCCGCCGTGGAGAGCGAACTTTCTCTCCCAACCATAGTTCGCTCAATGGTTGAGAGCAAAAGGTCGTGGGACGCAGTCCAGGCATTCTGCGAGGAGGTCATGGTGAAGAAAGAGGCGGCGGAAAGGGAAAGGGAAGATTCAGCCCCTGACCCGATCCGCCGTCGGAGAGTGGGTCGCAGAAGGAGAGCTATGGCTCTCCAGCTGCCGACATAGGCGGGTAACGGGAGGCGAAAGCCCCCGTGACATGGGTCCATGAGCGGCAGACTTAGGAGAGTCCGTCGCTCGTTACTGGTGGACCCGAGATGGCGGCGTATGTATTCCGCGTCTGCGACTCAAGATTGTTGACGGGGAGACAAGAACTCTCCCCGAAAAGCGAGATGGGGTTCGACGCCGAGTCGGATCAATCACCGCCGGAGTCGCGGAAGAATGCGTAAGCGTCCCCGTGCCTTCGGCACATGGTGAGAAGATGGAACACCGTCAGGTTTTAGTCGGTAGGAGTCCGACATAACCCTTCGCCTTCCCCGGGCGGAGGGTATCCATGAGGATTTCCTGACGTAAAAAAAAAAGGTTAGGTTAAGGTTGGTTTAAAAGAAAAAATATTTTCCTCTCAACATTACTTTCGAGGTTATGAAAATTCGAGCAAACGTTACTTCTGGCAAATGTCATTTCGGAATTCTGATAGGTAACCCTGTTTGTAACAATTGTTGTTATACAAAAAAAAACTATTTCATTGATAATTTAAATGAATAGATAAGCCATATGCCACTTTTTTCAATCAATTTGTTATAAATATCGTCAGAAAAATTTTGTTGAAATTCTGCCGTCCACTAATTAAAACGCGGCTAAGTGACAAATGGTCAAATATTCCTTTTAAATAAGCAAAGAATAGAGCACAAAATTCTGTTTTAAAATATTGGCGGACGGCAGAATGATCCCGTGTGCGGCGCGATATAAAAGTTACGTTAACTGTCAAAACTACCGCAACGAGCAGGTACTTCACTCAGTCAAACGTAGACCTGTATTGAAATTTGTTTTCTAATTATTAGTAAAAAATAATTTGGATTAGTTAGGGCTATCTCTGCACCCCCCACCACACCCCGGACACTCCATATAACGGTCGAAAATTATTTTACTACTACTACATACAGCAAGGCACTATCTGCATACGCGCAAATGTGTGCGTGAAGTGGCAGGGTTACCGATCCCTTGCTCGTATTATTACGTTATGTGGTCAGAGCGGCAATCTGTTATCTAGAATTCAATTATAGAATCCTAATAATTACACATGTTCATTACGTATGTATATCGATATAATATTAAATTTTTTAATTAATTCACTGTCTGGAATAATATTGAAGATTTATTTAAAAAATTAAAAGCACTTAAAATGTTATATTTTGGACAGGTTGTTCATTTATATTATTCATTTATATAGGTTTATCATTACCTAGATAATAATTAGGTATATTCACTACGCAATATTTTATCGGCAATACAAATTGAAAATTCGAGAATCCTCTAGCTCACGAAGTTATGGCGTCTTATTATTTGATATAATAAATCTGTAGTATATATCTGCAATAAAAAAAACAATAACTGAATGAATCTCAGACATAAGTTTTTTTACTTACTTCGTTTTATCTCTCAAAAAACGAAACAAACCCTCCTTTTATCCCGTTTAGATGTTAATAAACAGCCGTACATAGCACAATTCACGACCATTATAAACAGTAACGTAAAATGATGTTATTAACCTACAAATTTCGTAATGAAAAAATGAAAAGTATGTTCAAATATCAAAGCCGTCTTAGAGCGAAAACGGGTCGCCGACAGCCTTGTTCTCGTTCAGTCAATGTGACCGTCAATTTGCGGGGCGTGGTGCGGTATATAAAGCTAGGGAGGGGCGGAGAGTGTCCGTTCTCATTGCTTATCTGTTCTCTGCCTCGACGCTACGCCATTGGTCAGGATGGCGTGCTCAGTGGCAGTATCCCTCAGAATTTTGCGATTTAAAGCTTTGAGTGGCACTGCAACGTTATAGGCAGGCGTGTCGCGTACCAACTACCAGGAACACGACATACCACTCCCGTAACTTGGTATCATAAAAAACCGTATAATGTGGGTTGTGTTAATAACAGGTACGGTGACAATACTTCTTTGAACAACTACAAGTTTGCGTTACTCTTCTTCTTCTTCTTCCTTAACTTATCCCACACTAGGGGTCGCAGTTTCTCAAAATCTACAGAATAATGCTTTAGTGTTTTGAAAATATCGGCTCAAGCTGGTCAATTTTTAATTTTACCACCACGGCATTCCATGTTAAATTTTAGACTGCATTTACTGAATTCCAGTAAGTTTGAGTTGCTATATCTATATTAGAAACTAAGTTTGTGTAGGACGTACACGTAGCACATGTTTTTTAGTTTGAGCTTAAGCAGCTTCGCTACCCTTGTTGGCTGTAAAGCCTTCGAAACTCCGCATGCGTTTGGTCCGCTGTTATGTTTTCAATATCTTGCTGTTTGGTATGGAGTGTTGGATCTTGACCCCAGCATTATGCTAAAAACTGAAGGCCTTTCAGATGTGGCTGTATAGACGTCTGCTAGTACGTCTCCCCTATCAGCCGTCACTTCCATACTCACACCTTTCTTATCCATGTCATTTTACACATAATCAATCGGTATTAGATGCAGACGGCCTCCGTGGTCGAGTGGCTAGCACACCGGATTTCGCGGTATCGGCATCTCTGAGGTCCCGTGTTCGATCCCCGGCTGGGTCAGTGTAGAAAACTAACTTTTCTATATTATCTCTGATTTGGGTGTTTGTGGTACCGTCGTTGTTTCCGATTTCCACAACACAAGTGCTTTAGCTACTTACTTTGGGATCAGAGCAACGTATGTCATGTTATCTAATATTTATTTATCCATCTTTTCTTTGGCGTTCCTTTTATCCCTCCACATTCATATCTTACACTCTTCTGGTCACATGACATTCTTCCCTCCGAATGACATGTCCGTACCACGCTAACCTATTACTCCTCATCTTTTCCGTCACTGGCGCCACTGTCAAACTTCCCCTGATGTACTCATTCCTTATCTTATCCCTTCTCGTCACTCCACACATCCATCTCAACATTCGCATTTCCGCTGCATGTACAGTTCGTTCATCCTTCCTTTTCATTGTCCAACATTCTGATCTATACAGTATGACAATCCATACAAGTTTGCATCACTCTTACACATACATATATATATAGAACATAAAAAATAAGCTCACAGTAACGGTGTAACGAAACATTGTGTGACCAAACATTGTAACTAGGTAATTAGGAATCTCAATCTTATCTCTCAGAGATAAAATTCTCAGATACACTTATCTTGTGTCAACTCTATTATTTACGCGAGAATAACTTATATTGCATTAACATTCATTTTAGTTTCCTCTTTCGACGACATAATGAGCCTTGAATGTAGTTGACATGTTATTTGCTTATGGCTTTATATTTAAATGCGATTATACTTTAGGTACCTGTGTTGTGTGTGCTGGTGTCGGACGTATCATATCACTAACTGCCATGTCTGACATTCTTGTCGTCTTTGAACTGTGAACATTTGTCACTAATCGTCATTGTATGTCCTTTTCTATATAAATGATTTTACAATCGCACGATAGGCTTATAGGGTAAAAACTACATTATGACTGTCTGCAAAGCAGCCAATAAAACTCTTGGTTTTTGCCATGCGAGGGTTCACAGTTTCGTGATATTGGGGTGGCACTTATGCTCTACAATGCCTTTGTAAGAAGTAGGCTGGAATACTGCGTAGCAATCTGGAATCCTTAAGAGTATAAATACCGTCACCTGATTGAAAGAACTCAATGACAATTCGTTCGATACTTGTGCAAAATTATGTTTGGTTACTGTCCGCTGTTCTTTCCTTCCCTGTTTGTGTACGGAATGGTCGGTCTTGACACCTTGGAAATATATAGATAGATAAACACTTTATTCACTAGTATGACACAAATACAGATTGAATACAAAAGGAAAAATAAAACATTTTTGTCATAGCAGTGCAATGGCGCTGACTCAGCATATAGCCTAAGTTTCCTAAGGCGCTGGTTTTCACTCAGAACCAACGAGAAGTACTAAATCTAGAAGTTATTTAAACGACTAGGATGGTAATAATAAATTTAAATAAAAGCTAAAAATAAATTTATTTCCACACAACTGAATCTAACTCCATACTCGTACAATGTAAACAAATGTAAATGAAGCAAGGATAATATTTAAATGTAACTTTCTGCATACTTTTCTATATGTTATAGCATAATAAAGAATTAGATATCAAATTTAAAACTAGTCACTCTTTCACTGTTATATATTGATTTGGCAGTGGAGGAGTGATTTGGTTGTGGATTAGTAAATTAGTAGGTAACTAAATTTATAAAAAAGGTATAGCTGCAGTGTTTCATATAGTCAATAATTAACTATGTAGCAATATCTTATGGTTAATAATTTTCCAATGTTCTTAGTATAAACGGTAAATTTTTGTTTGCTTTTTTAAGTAATATCGTGCCATCTCATCCTTCAAAATGGTTCGAACTGCAAACCAGCGTTACAGCAATTGAGCTGTGACATATGCTGAGTTTGGTTCCATTTCAGCTCGTGACTGTAACTCTTTGTATACTGGCAATGTGTGATGCTGGCTGAATAAACGTTTCTTTCTTTCTTCTTTCTTAATTGTTCATTAAAATAATAAATGTCATAAAGAGTGAATAGTGCATCTAAAGTAACCTATTCTATATGTTAATGCATGTGCGGATTTGTATATACATATAAGTGTAACTATAAGTTAAAATAATCATTGTGAATATGTTTTGGTGTAATAAATCGAAGTAAAAAAGGTATATTTAGAAAGGCTACGAAGAAGAGTACATGGGGATATGAAAACTTATATTAATAATAAAATTTCAACAAATTAGACAGATTTTTGTAATGAGAGTAGGTGTTGACGGTAAAGTGCTTTGAATTGTAAAGTGTTTGGATGAAATAAGACTTAAAGTTCGAACTGTACTCCATTACATATTTCTTAGCCGGTTATAAATGGACAACACTACACCCCGTTACGAGTTACTGTGCAACAAGTGTGTCTGCTTGGTCGACGCCGATATCAACTGTTTGCACATACTTGCCGTGTTGACGCGCCCGCGAAATGTGATCACATGTTACTAAAATGTCTGATCGCTGAGGACCAGGATGCTGACATCTTTTACGATAGCATTTAGTTTGCTAAAACTAATTTGTAAAGCAAACCGTGTGCTTAGACCACATACGTCAAGTATGTATGTGGTCTAAGCAGTTTTTGGCATACCAGCAGGGTAACTTCTTTTGAGGAAATCGTTGCCCTAGAAATGGACTGTTGATAATATTTTTATATGCATAGATAATTTAAGAGAGAGAGAGAGAGAGCTCTCCTGTGAACCATTTTGTAAAAAACATTTTAACCCCAACATCTACTTATATTTTGAAAACTTGCAAATTTATAAAAAAATTGTTAGCTGTAGAGCTCTTTGTGAAAGTGTTCATCCAGAGAAGTACTACCACCTTCTATTTCTGCCACCAAGCTGTAGTGTGAGCATTACTGCGTTCTGGTTTTGATGGCTAAGGGTGCTGGTGTAATTACAGGCACATACGACTTGTCAACTTATAATGACGGGCACAGTGGCAGTACCCCTAAGTTCTTTGCAATTAAAAGCTCTAAGTGGCACTGCAACTGTTACTGCCAAACGCACGACTGGTTCGTTCCATCACTAGATATTATAAAAAAAACCACGTAGTACAAAGCAATTTGATCGAAAAATGGTACGAAATTAAACGACAAAAAAGTGCTCAAATTGAGATACAAATTGAGATAAAATCAAGCTTACCCTGCTCAGACGTCTTCGGATATTGGCAGATGATCTGGCATATCTGGTAACCGCTCCACACACATATAAAATTGAATATCGCTTAGTCTAGACTGCCTTTTAAAGGTCGATATCTTCTAGAGAATAGTAAGTAGTAGAGCTCCTTGTGAAAGAGTTTTGATGAGTGCTGGTGATATTACAGGCGCAGTCTTGTCAACTTGTGTCTCAGGGTGCCGAACGCAGTGATAGTTCCCCTAACATCTTTGCGATCTAAAGCCCTGAGTGGCACTGTAACTGTTATGGATAGGCGTGTCGCTTACCACTTGGTATCATAAAAAAATGGTGGCAGTACTTCCCTGAATGAACTCATTTCACAAGGAGACAAAACAGTAAAGTTTCTTCCATGTAATTAAACTAATGAATGAATAATATGTCTACAGAACTGCTGTGATGAATGTCTTCGAGGAACATCGACGAGTTCTACCGGCCTTGTGGAGTCGTGTCAATACACGACAAGGGGTAGCAGCGCTGATCAATTGTTGGCTGGTGCTGCTTTCGAGGAATGCTGCAAGGTATCAATATTATTATATTTTATAGAATACATTTCATTGGAGTTTCTATTATGTTGGAAAGTTTAGTCTGTCTAGACCATAAGTAACTCATAAAAGGGCAATGCTCGGCATTTCTCTACGTGATCGAGTCAGAAAAGTGGAGATCTGTAGAAGAACGAAAGTCACCGACTTTGAAGTGGCAGTGGGCAGAGCACATGGCTCGTAGAATTGACGGCCGTTGGGGCAGAAAGGTTCTCGAATGAAGACCACGAACCAGTAGGCGTTCAGTGGGACGGCCTCCTATTAGATGTATGGATGACCTGGTAAGGGCGGCGGGTAATGGGTATACATCGCGTCTGATCGGCTAGTATGGAAATCTTTGAGAGAGGCATATGTTCAGCAGTGGACGTCTTCCGGCTGATATGATGTCCTCAAGCTCTTTGGCTCACCAGCCATTTAGACAATAATAATTGAAAATATGTATTTTATAAATTAACTTAACACAAAAAATCACAAGCAAAAAATTGTGTGTAGTTTATATAGATAATTCAGGTTTATTTTTTCAAATGCGGTAGCACCTCCTGGACAGCATCAATGCCCTATTGTTTCCGAGGCCCCCCTAGGACTCTTCAGCGCCCACTAGAGGGAGGTCTACTTTGAGAACCTTTTTTTCGTAGCATGAGAGCTCCTTGTGAAAGAGTTCGTCCAGGAAGTACTGCCACCTTAACTTTTTCTGCCGCCAAGCAGTAATGTCAGCATTATTGTGTTCCGGTTTTGAACGGTAAGGGTGCTGGCGAAATTACAGGCCCATGGGACTTGTCAACTTATGTCTCAAGGTGACGGGCGCAGTGGCAGAGCCCCTCAGATCTTTGCGATTTAAAGCTCTGAGTAACACTACGACTGTCATGATTCAGATTCATTTATTTCTCAATTATAACATTACAGTATAAATTGCACTACATTTCAAAGTATAAGAAATTATATTGAGATCGTCAGACAAAATAAGAAAATTATAAGAAAAATACACAATAATTAGAAAATTAACAATTCATTATATAATATTGTTGTCATTAAATTACATATCAAATATCATTCTCCATCAAGGGTCGTCATAAGTTGATAACAATTGTACAAGAGTATGTCAATGCGGTAAAAATTAGAATAAAAATAGAAAATACTCAATATCGTTACAATTTTAAGTCCATAAATTCATTTACAGAATATAAAGGATTTTTCAAAAACGGTCTTTTAGCCGGCGCCTAAATGTTCCGTCAGACGGTTCATGGACCAACGTGTCGCTTACCACCAGGTGCATGATTTGTTCGTACCGTCACTTGGTATTATTAAAAAAAGTTAAAATATAATAGAGCAAACTGACTTTACTACAACTAGACGGCAACAAAAAAATGCTCACTTACATATGCAATAATAATGTACTTAATGTCAAATTTACAGAAGGCGTTAAACACGAATTCAGGAAATTCCAGCTTTATAGCACATGAAAGGTCAGCCGTTACTTCATCCAGAAAACCAAGTTCATCAGTCAGCAGTAAGTAATTCTATAAAATGGTAAAAATGGTAAAGTTTGGTAATAAAAAACAAAGGGATAATATTTATTATTTGATCCTCAACGAAATAATTTATCTATTGTGAAACTGCACTTTTTTAAATAAACGATTTCTTTTATGTCTCATATAAAAAAAATCGTATTTAATTGACATG